AAACAACGCGTGAAAGCCGCGACTTGGAAGTTTGGTGGGGAATATTGATGTGCTGAGTGGGTCGCGGATATTTTCTCAAGGTTTTGGAGCAGTTGTTCCAAAAATCTGAACAGTGTGGTGTGATTGTGGAATATTGTGCTCGCAGCTTCTTGATCTTGAGTGGGATGTTGGAAGAAGGAAGTTGCAGCGCCAGGCGAACGTTGTTGTGTCAGTGCCAAGTGCGCTCCGTCACTACACCAACGCATTTACCATTATGGAGTTCATTGCTGCACTTGCTCCTAAACTACTATGTTATGTAGCAGTCGGATAGTCAATAATTACAAGAAATCCCATCGAAACTGGAAGTGCCATACTGAAATGAAGAAATTGCGAGTAAGTCCCCAGGTGTTACAGACGCAGCCTGAGTCATTTCTTACACGCAGAGGCGCACGACCTCCCGTCACTCTCAGGGAAGTTCACGTGATCTCGGTGTTTCGACTACCAGCCTCCGTCCTCCGCTGCGGCGACCTTGAGCTCAGCATCATACAGTTACCGTCAATCCACAACTACTCCGAAACCACCTCAACCCCCGCACAACTCACGTCAAGATGGTGTTGGAAGCTTCCATGATAGTGTATGACGGCCTTCACTCACCCATCCATATGTGCTAACTATTGCAGCGTTGACAACAGCGAAGCTAGTCGAAATGGCGATTATGTACCCTCGCGATGGGAAGCACAACAGGATGCCGTGAACATGATCTTCTCTGCAAAGACTGGTGCAAACCCAGAGTCATCTGTCGGTCTGATGAGCATGGGCGGCAACACCCCAGAGATCCTCACGACCCTGACAACGGACATTGGCAAGGTGTTGGATGGTCTGCACAGGACGAAGATAAAGGGTAGCTCACACTTTGTGACAGGCATCAATGTAGCGGCTGTAGGTTATTCAGGACCCTGGAGAAGACACACAAGCTGATCATACTGTAGCTGGCCCTCAAGCACAGACAGAACAAGTCGCAGAAGCAGCGGATAGTCATATTCAACTGCAGCCCCATTGAGGAAGACGAGAAGAACCTGGTGAAGCTCGCGAAGAAGATGAAGAAGAGCGGTATTAGCATTGACATCATCGCATTTGGTGAGCTCAGCGACGACACCACACGGAAACTCCAGGCCTTCAGCGACAACGTACAGAGCGCCGAAGGGTCCTATCTGGCTACCATCCCACCTAGCGCAAACCTCCTCAGCGACTCTCTGATTACAACACCCATAGTTGGAGGCGAGGGTGCCTCCAGTGGTGGCGGCGATAGCGGTTCTGGAGGAGGTGGCGGTGGCCCATCTGGTGGCAATGACTTCGAGTTTGGCGTGGATCCTTCTGTTGATCCCGAACTTGCGCTGGCACTGCGAATGTCGTTCGAGGAAGAAAAGGCGCGACAGGAAAAGGACAAAAAGGCGAAGGAGGCTGCCGAAGGCAAGTCGGAGCTTGAGCCAGTCGCCGAGGGCGATGAGAAGCAACCGCTGCTGGATGATCAGGGCCAGTCCAGCGGACGTGGCAGCAAAGACAAGAAGAAGGACGATGATCCAGACAAGATGGACACGGCATGATCTAGCATAGATGTGGCAGCGTGTGGTGCGGCAGAGCATCCACGGCGTCTACTGTACGAATAGAGCTGAAACGCCACATAAGGCATGGATGAATGAACAAGCATTAATGAAGACTTCAGTCCGCATATAGACAAATGCTGTTGTTTTTGCTGTCCTCTACGAAGTTGACCACCATCTATGGGTGGGTTACTGACTGAGCGCTGACAGCTACGTCTCTACACTCGGAACCTTAACCTTGAAGCCATGTCTCCTATCACTCGTCGCCTCCAGCGCAACATGAGTTTGTAGCATGTCGCGGCATGCTGTTCTTTGTTGACAGCACCTTGGCAAACCTCCAGTGGGCCAATTCCTACTATCAGATAAATCAGGTCGCCGTCCGCTTCGTGATGTTATCTTGGAACCATAGTCGTGCTTCTCCCATCCCATTCACCCCCTCACTTTCACAAACCCGTCCAACCCGCGGTCAAACTTCTCGCACCGAACCGGCATCTCTACTGTATAGAATGGGTTTTTCATGACGTAGTCTGCGTACAGCTCGTATATCTTCTTCATCATTGTGTCCACATTCGGTTGCTGCGGCTCAGTGAAGAGCAGAAACTTGACTCCGGTTTGCGTCTGGAAGCATTGAATGCGAAAGTGCGAGCTCTCGAGAACTTCAATACCGGTGGCGCGCACGGGGAAGGCCTGGAGGTTTGGGGTGGCAGTAGAGGAAGGGGGCGCGCGAACGGGTGGAATGGGTGAAAGCTGAGCAGTGATGGCGTGCATTCTAGTACATCAGTCAGAAATTGGCGCTTGAATGTCTATGATGTGAATCATGTACCCATGGAATGACCCGGCGAGCATGAGGTAGTCGTTGCTAGTGAGCTTGCTCATGCCCGTGTGGAACTCGCGGTTGTAGATGAGACCGCCAGATTTGCTGATTATGAAGAGCGCAAACACGACCCTAAGCTGATCAGTACAGCATCCCAAGAAATCAGAATTGCATCACACACATCTTGCCGGGTCTGGTCGTCGTTGCCGGTTCGTGGTGTTGCGGCGGGCGTTGGAAGCGGTGACGGATTCTGCCCCTCCACATGCATCAGCCTGCACCTCTCAAGCACACCCATGCACCCTCGACCCAGCCCAACGACTGCTTGCAAGACCCTCCAGATCGGCCGGCTGGTTCCTGCACCCACTCCCACCGCTATTGATTTCCATTTGTAGGCCACCTTACTCTCTCCACTCTCTCGTTCATCCCGCGCCAACTCGGCCTACCTCCAACCCCGCGAATCCTAGTGTAGCACGCGTATCGCTCGCCCACCACGGACGCAGCACCAGCTAGGCAACATTCGCGACACCATGTCGAATCAGTCCATTCTTAGAATCACCCGAGAGCTGGGCGAGATCCAGCGTGGATCGGACCTTTCTCTAGCCGTTGCCTGCCGTGATATTGACGTACGTCATGTACGAGCGCTGATTATTGGCCCGCCCGACACCCCCTATGAGTTTGGCTTCTTTGAATTTGCTGTCAAATTCACCAAAGACTACCCGACCAAGGCACCCAGCGTTACAGCCATCACCACAAATGGGGGACGCACCCGTTTCAACCCCAACATCTATGCGGCTGGCAAGGTCTGCCTGTCAATTCTCGGGTAAGTACAGAGCGAAGCTTTTGACGCGGCCGCTTTTACTAATGAAGCGCAGTACATGGCGAGGGGAGCGTGGCGAAGAATGGTCTTCTGCACAGGGACTTGAGTCCATCCTCATCTCTATCCAAAGCCTCATGTCTGGCAACCCGTACGAGAATGAGCCTGGCTTCGAAGACGCAAATTCCGACTACGACAAGAAGAACCAAGAGGCATACGTAGACAAGATTCGCCATGAGTCTCTACGTATATCTGTCATCGAGCGGCTTGAGGAGTACCTGGGTATCAATCGGGAGAGGCCCGGTGTAACAGTCTACAATGCCGAGGAAGACTACCAGGCCAGCAGAGAAGATGCGCCCTTTGAGCCCTTCAAGGACCTCTGCAAGCGTCGCTTCTTATGGTACTACCAGTCCTACCTGGCTCGAATCGACGAGGCTGCAAAGAAGAACAAGGATGGAGACAAGTTCGAGAAGATGCCATTTGAAGGCCCAGGCAATGCCATGGAGGGCACGTTCAATTACACCAATCTCCGAGAGCGTCTTGTAAAGGTGTTTGAGACACTTAACAAGGAGATGGAGGCTTGGGCTGCAGAGGGCATGTCGGCTGTTCGAAAGGAGATGAGCATTGCCAACAATCTCCAGCGACAATATGAGCAAATCATCGAGAACTACAAGAAGCAAGACGCAATCACACTGGATCTCGATCTTGTCGACAAGAATCCATTCGTGTGGCAGCTCATTCTGTTCGGGAGGCCCATGACGAACCTCGATGGTGGCATGTTCAGAATCAGGCTATACATTAGCCCCAAGTTCCCCGACGTATTGCCTCGTGTTAGGTTTGAGGAGCCAGTCTTGTACCATCATCGCGTGTCGCCCGACGGTATTCTCTGCTATGATGCTGCTCGCAAAGATGACATGCGATCACACATCGAAGCCATCATCGCTGCGATTGAGGATGAGTCTCCTGCTTATGACCCACGTACTCTGGTCAATCCCGAGGCCGCGAAACTTTTCTGGGGCACACCGGATGACAAGAAGATGTACAACCGTCGCTTGAGGCGCTCTGCGCAAGATAGTGCAGAGTAAGTTACAGTCCCAATCCTCTTAGATGCCTACTGACCAAGAAGGTACTGCTTGTAGGATGAACGAGACGGTTCAGCGATGATACTACGGCCGACTGCATCAGTTATGAAATTACATGATACCCCAAGCCCGTCCAGGGCTTGCATTATACGGCGTTTCCGGGACTCTGGGCATGGTAGCATAGGGGAATAGTACTTTGCATGGCGTTCGTCGTAACCAACAGTCGATATATCAGGGCTGTGGTTGACTACAACAGATACACATAAGTTTTGCATTGGAACCGCGAATATGAATAATTTGATGCGTTTGCATTGCTATTAGTAATACAACTACTTTGGTTTGCGAAACGTGTAGTAATTGACCAGGATGGCCAACTAACAGAAGCTTGAAGTTTGAATTGGTCCCAAGTATACGACTTTTCGGGAACAGCGCGCATCACGGTAGTCTCTGCCGGCGAGCCTGTCGTACCGGTGCAGGACCCTGCGCGATGTGGGGGCTAAGCCGTGCCGCCCCAGAGGCGGAAATTGATCTGCCGAGCTCTCTCCGCAAAACAGATGCGTAGTCGCAACAACAATTGCACTACAGACACACAATTCATAATGTCGCGGCCCGAATCAATACAGTCACTAGGAAAAGTCATCATCGTCGGTGGATGTGGATTTTTGGGCAGCCACATCGTCAGCTTCATCGTTAAGCGTCACCCCCAGACACAAATCGCAGTTATCGATCTACGAACGACGTCGAATCGCCATGCCAGTCCGACAGTTTCGTATCACGATGGTGATATCACCGACGAAGCGGTAATGAAGTCGATATTTTCTCAAGTCAAGCCTGACGCTGTCATTCACACTGCCTCTCCTCACTTCGATCTGAAGCCCGAGATTCACACAAAGGTCAACATAGGAGGCACCAAGGTCCTGCTGAAAGCTGCCCAAGAATCTGGCGTAAAGGCATTCGTCTACACGAGCTCAGCAAGCGTCATTCTCGATCCCGCAGTTGAGCTCATCAATGCGGACGAGAGGTGGCCGCTTGTCACTGGCGACGACCAGCCCGAGTACTACACGACAACAAAGGTGAGTTTACTATACCGTTACTTTGTTACTGCTCTAATCAGTGCTATAAGGCATATGCGGAGACAGCTGTGCTCGAAGCCAACCGCAAGCCTGAGAACTTCCTGACCTGCGCCATCCGTCCTGCAGGTATCTTCGGCGAGGGCGATGTACAATTACTCCCCAAGATGATTGGCGCGTACCGCAAGGGACAGACCAAATTCCAGGTCGGACCCAACACGAACATGTTCGACTTCACTTACGTGGAGAACGTTGCGCATGGCCATGTCCTCGGTGTCCTTGCACTCCTCCAAACCCACAAGGTCCTGCCTACAATTCCTCTAGACCACGAGCGCGTCGATGGCGAAGCCTTCTTCATCACCAACGGCGAGCCTGTATACTTCTGGGACTTTGCGCGCGCGGTATGGCATGAGGCAGGTGATCGTTTGCCTTTGGGCAGTGTATGGCATCTCAGCGCCGACGTGGCCTGGACAATTGGAGCGATTCTAGAGAACCTCTTTTGGGTACTTGGGAAGAAGCCGAACCTGACCAGGGCTCAGGTCAGGTACAGCAGCATGTCAAAGTACCACAGCATTGCCAAGGCGAAACAGCGGTTGGGATACGAACCACTTGTTGGTCTGGAGGAGGGTATCAAGAGAGGCGTAGGATATATTCTGGAACAGGAGAAGAAGGCTGGCGAGAAGAAGGGTCAGTAGATGCTAGAACTTGTGGCATTTGAAGCCGGTTACTTCCAAGATTCCCAGAGCGATTATTGGCGTGTGTAGTTTCTGTAGATAATGTAATTATATCCAACAGGATGATGAATGTCGATATTGGTAGGCATCAACGTTTCGTGTCTCGTGCCTCATTTTGAACGTATACAGAGTGTGAGTATGGACTGAATCCTACGAGCATTCTAGGATATCGATATGCATGCACCGTCAAGCAAGTCTAGACCGACCGAATGTGGTTAGAATCTCACAGACAGACCCACCGCGGTTAGTTAAGTACTTCATGACGCGCGCGAGGACTTCGACTTTCTAACGCACCCCACGTTCGCCCCGCCAACATGGCGCGCAATCACGAAGTATGTCGCGCCCGCTACTTCCCGAGTCAGCGTACGAAGCTCTTGGGCTCTCCCCTCAAGCGATCAAAGACCTGATGAATCCCAAGCCTATACCCGAGCCTCCTCCAGAGATTCACGCACCGAATCTCCTCCAGAGCGACGAGAATAATGCGCGACCTATGCTGCCCAACGAAACGTCTATAACGCTATACGCCGAACTCCTGCTGCATATACGCACTGTTACGCTTTTTGCATCGCTGCGCGCGAACAACTCAAAGCAGACGGATGCAAAGCTCTCTGCCGATGGTTCCTTCATCACCGTGTCGCACGAGGGCGCGTCTGCAAAGATACGTCTGCCGATCAACGTCAAGGGTGGGGGCGATGCCGCACTTGAACTGCCTTCGCAGCCACCAAACAAGGAGCTGACGCTACGTCTGCAAGTGGAAGAGCAAGAAGGAAGCGACCTCCTAGGGGCATTGCGACGCCAGGACCGCCAGGCCAACATTGTACCCTGGGACGGCGCTTCACTTAACGACACAAAAGACGTAGAGATAGTGTGTAAGAGCTGCCAAGGTGTTCTCGTGCCAAAAGGAAAGATCCAGCAATGGAAAGACCTCCCAAATGAGAACTGGGCTGAGATGATGGACTTCTGGCACTGCCACAAACCAGACGAGCATCACTTGCACGATCATACACATGAGCACGCCGTCGGCCAAAAAGGCTATGCTGCTGGTAATCGGTTACAAGCCACGCAAGGTATAGGTTTTGTAGACCTGGCCAGCTTCCTTTTAGTGGAAGCAGACTGCGAGGGTGCACAGGTAAGCTATACTTTCATCATCTACGCTGGTGATACGTGTGCATTGTTACCACTTTGTACACAATAATTCCGGGCGCAAAGAAGGCAATATAGCCCTTCCCATGGCATTATCGTCGATACAATCGCCCTAAAATAACAAGCCATACACGTTTTCTCTCCCCCAGATGTACCCTCTTCCTCAGGTTGATGGGTTGCTGGTGCTGTTGAGGTAGCGGCCTGGTATTCTATCTGTCTCTCACCTGAGACCATTGGGATTGACAGGGTTCTCCAAGGCTACATCACTTTCTATAAAGCAATGTTTCTGACGGCTTATGCCACATATGCTGACTGTATATAGCTATCTCCTGCAGAAGAAGGCACACAGTCGGCCTCAGTCGTATGCAAGCACTGCAACCACACAATCGGGACCCGAGACCCCACCACCGATGGCTGGCGAATACGCAAATGGACTGTTGGCATAACTTCCACCGCAACCGACCCGTCTTCATCCTCCATCCCCTTCTTCTCCACCCAAAGGTGGATCTCAGCCCGCCTCCTCTACCTCATCGAAAACACCGGTCTCCGCAAATTCCATGTCCACATCGCTCCTACCACATCACAATCTCAACCCCCAGCCCCCATATCCTCCCTCCTCTTATGGGTCTTCACCCCGGACCTCCTCTTCTCCTCATCCATCCCTAGCCCCGGCCGCCTCGACCCCACACGCTCCATGAAAGTCTTCTTCGAGCGCAAAACTTGGCAGCCGCTGCAGCCTGGCGAGCCTGAAAACGCGAGTATAGAGGATGTTGAGTTGGAGCTGGAATTGTATGAGGAGTTGGATCAAGCGCTGAGGCGGAATCAGAGACTCTTGCCGCCGACGGCGAAGAAGTTTCAGGGGTGGGAGGTGGCGCTGCTAGAGAGGTTTGAGGTAGCGGAGGCTGGTATGGGGAGGGCCGAAGGGGATTTGTTGGCCGAAAATGTGGATTGAGAGTATGGATTTGGTCAGGGGAATGTTGGTGGGCGGGTCGCGTGGGGTTGGATGGGTTTGTTTCTATTTAGTTCTATGGTTATGATGAAGCAATGATAAGTAACGTTTGCAACGAAATCCTTGAGCGTTTGAACACACTGCTGGGTCTTCTAGGTAGTGTGAGCGACTACAACAGCTACCCAGAATGAGGTCTTGTGTGTAGAAGCTGTGCAAATGATATAGCTGACATATAACGCTTTGATATGTTGCATTTCCCTGGAGCTTCCCACCAGACTGGCTGCCTACTGACCTACCCAGCTAGCTAATGATATATTAAATCATGATCCAAACTACCCACCTCGCTGAAGTAATGAAGGGAAGCATGCACGGTCGATACAATGCAGGGTGCGGTAGATTGAATCACATGTGTGCCAGTGTTGAGAGATGAATTATTTGGTTGAGGGCTTATGGAGAGAAGGGTATTCAAGGGAAGTAGAATTAGAGAAACATGGCTTAGGAATGTTTGGCTGAAGAAAGGAAGAGAGGGCGGTTGCGACATTTGCGTAGTCAACTGCGTTTAGGGATCTTGTTCTACGAATGTGCAAGGGCGCTGCTACTATTTATTTTTTGGTCTTGCTCACGATGTGTGCGAATGTACAGCGGTCTTCTGCGTTGAATGCGTTTCCACTAGATACAATCTGGTGTATTTGAGTGAAACCAAGCGAGTGGAAGGCGGCGGGGCTGTTAGCGAATATATCTTTGGAAGCATACGTGTCATGTGGGAGTACACGCGTAGAAATCTAGTGAGTTTCACATAATTTATCTATCATGAGTGAGAATGTGGGGTATCTCTTAAGTCTTGGGTAGTAGGGGCTTCTCGTGACATAAAAGGGGTCTTGTATCCACCGCATAATTATTCAGGTTTGGGTTTTGGATCGGGGGACTTAGCGGGAGGGCGAATCGTCGAGGGAACATTTACTCAGAGACATGGTTATGTTCTATGCGCCTATTTTGTGCGAGAGCTACGACAGGGGAGCTTGATGGAGTTGTTCCACAGATGTGCCCGCTTCGGCAGGTGTGGTTTCCAGACTTGTCTACGCTTCGCCAATCGTGGTTTCCAGATAGTTTTACGGTTTGCTAGTCGTGCTTCCCAGACCTGTTTAGTGACGTAAATAGATTGATGAGACCACGGTTCTACACTTCTCTGCCAACGCAGTTGGAACCTTAACTCCAAAACTTCATTATCACTCTCGTTGGATGGAACCTTTTGTTGCACAAATTCCCGATTTTTAACTATCTTTACAAGAAATTCACACACTATGTTTATTCAGCAACTCTCTCGCAAAGCCACAGTGATCCAGCCATTGTCATACTTCTCATTATAAACTGAGTCAACAAACTCCTACAACACAAAGGACGGTGATTAGGGTTAAAAGAGCGCAACGGAGCAGCAGCAGTAGTAGGAATGGCGGCTGAAAGCATGGAAGTTAGCGAAATTCTTCTAACAATCGATCCATACTGGCACATGTTCAACTTTGTCCTCGAGCACCAGCCCCGAGACCAAACCAATCTTATAATACGAGCAACACCCCAAATACCCTGGATAATCACCAGATTGTACACCCAACCCGGTACACTTGCATTCTACTACTACCCCAACGACCACGTGTGGACCTTACCAGACCCTTACTGGCGGCTAGCAAGCTATAAATTCATGCACTGCGACTATACCATCATCATCTTCCTCAGATACCTCGAGGCCTCCCTAGCCAGATACGGGGCCACCGTTAAATGGTTCACAGTGATGATCAGACCTTACGCCATCTTCCACCGGCAACACGAGGCCCCCGCTGCAGATATCCGTCACAGCGTGTTTGAAATCACGGCAAGGTCGGGATATCAGTACATTGCCGATTTTACTATTGAGCAATTTGGATATCCCAGTGACATGTGGTTCATGGACAAGAGTGCCTATATGCACCATTGTACGCTGGGACGCTGGCCAGGACAGCCGAGACAGCGGGAGGTGGCGAGATTCAGGAGCGGCGACCTCGGGCGTCCGGAAAGATGGAGGGATGGGGTTCTCAAGCACATTTGTGACATGTATCAATTCGCCTGGTGGGGGTACGACAATCGCGAGCGGAGAGAGGGGTGGTTGCGTTCGATTGTTCTTCGCACTTTGGCTTACGCGGAACCTGCGTGGCGGCTCGAAAGTCAGACTGATCAAGGAGTCCTGGACGCTGCAGCAAGGCACGCTTCGAATGGTGGTGTGCCGATGGCCTGCTTGACAGACGGTTGCCGGCGATTGATGTGAACGCATTGTCTAGTGACGAACCATCGTCGTCTTCAAGCGAGACTACGCATAGCCCTTGCTTAGTCGACTGAGATATTGGAAGGGGTTATCTTCGACGTACTTTTTGATTTAGTGTTTTTTTCTTTGCATAGCTTCGCATCTAGTATTCTGGAGTTTTGGGGTCCACTGAGGTACTCTATGGGCTTTGTGAAGAAGCAAGGCGTCTGTGGGTTTCTTCCTTTATGTCTTTTTTCTATCAGATTTTCAAACGCATTGGTTCCATGTGAGGGCTGGATACACTCGTCGAACTTCGAGTGTAAGCTTGGTAGTATACACACTGAGTAGAAAGTCTAAAGTCTTTCGGCAATATTATCATTTGTGTATCCACCCGGGTGTCATAAATACTGGACATACTAGTGTAAAACAGCCTCTGTAGTCGCCAGACACGTCTATTGGGTGCCTGCCCACACTGTCCCGTATTTCATGTCACCCAGGTGTATCTGTGGTTATAGTAGATGTTCGGTGAGACTGGGGTACAATAGTGGGGTCGATTAAAGATCCATAGTTCATCTAGCTGGTTTAATTCAGTCCTTGCAGTCGAAAAATGATGGCTTGCATACTTAGATTTAAGATTAGTTGAGGTTGGAATAGATGCAGTAGTGGTAGTTATCTTGCTAGTTACGTTGGAATTATCGTAAGGAGTCTACACAGACCGTCGCCTCCTCTGGTCCAGGCGGCGAGCAACGGCAAGACCCGGTTTATTTTCATCTTGCATCCGCATCTACAGAGAACAGATTCACCGAGAAATCTGCTGCAGGGAAAAGTCGACAGGGTCCATGGAGTTTAGCCTCGGCGCAATGCTCGCAAGGCCGTTGGATGGAGTTGTGGTCGTTGTGGGCCGCCGCTAGCGTGCCTTGGATACGCGTCCCTAGCGCGACGCTCGGACCCATCTCCGCTGAAAAGTTCGACGCTGATCTTTTTGCTTTTAAGCTCAGAGTTCGCCTTTGCTCCAGCCATCCAACTTCTTCAACCTCTTTCACACATTTTCCTCGAGCATTATCAGTTCGAGATCTACATTGAGGGCTATTACGATCTTCAAGTGGGCTACTGAGGGCAATTACCAGTACCAGAAACAAATACAAGTCAGTGGGCAACGTTCGGCTTTTCCTTAACACACATTACAGAGGGCACGTCTGTCGCTCGTCAGGGCAAGACAAGATCAACCAGAGGGCATTGCGCTACTATGAGGGTTAATCTTCCGTCTTCTCGGCGTTTGTGGGAACACGCTGCCTTGAAGCTCGGTTTTCTGTGGGCTCTTGTGGGCTTTCCGTGGGCTTGAGGGATTCCCGCTTCGCGCGGTCTCGAGAGATACCAGTGGGCTTTTCGCAATTTGAGACAACCAGATACGCAGGCTGGCGCACATGATAACCTCTGGGTATCAGCGCCCGAGCGACGGCGTCATTGCCGTCGTCTCCTCTATTTCCTTTTCATCTCAGCATCATTGACGTTCTCGTCGCACGTTACACAATACTGATACGTTGTAGATCTAGTTACCTACTATCAAAATGGGCAAGACCAAGATCGCGGACAAGTCGTCCAAGAAGGACAAGAAGTCCGAGCTTGCGAGCGTCAAGGCTGGTCGCGTCACCAAGCCCGCTGCCACCCCCAAGTCGAAGAGCAAGGATATTGCCAAGTCAGTTGCTTCCAACGTCAAGGACAAGAAGAAGTCAAAGAAGGCTCCTACCCCAGAGCCGGAGTCTGATTCTTCGTCTGAGAGCGAGAGCGAAAGCGAAGATTCCTCTGAGAGCAGCAGCGAGGAGGAGGTCGTCGAAAAGAAGGCCTCTGCCAAAGCTGCTCCTAAGGCCGCTGCTAAGGCCGACTCTGATTCTGACTCCGACAGCAGCGAGGAGGACAGTGACAGCGACAGCAGCGAGGATGAGAAGCCTGCCCCCAAGGCCAAGGCCAACGGTGTGAAGAAGGTTGCCGCAAAGGCAGAGTCGAGCGACTCTGACAGCGACTCAAGCGAGTCTGAGGAGGAGAAGGCCGCCGCCAAGGCTAAGGTCAGTCTTCCTGCCTTTTTTCTAATAGCTTTATACTAATGTTCACAGGCTACCTCCGACTCTTCCGACTCCGATGCCGACTCCGATGCCGACTCTTCCGATTCCGACAGCGACGAAGAGGAAGCTCCTTCCAAGAAGCGCAAGGCTGAGGAGGTTGCCGAGCCCATCGTTAAGAAGTCAAAGGTTGAGGAGCCCGCCGCTGAGGAGGGTGTCAAGAACCTCTTCGTTGGTAACATGAGCTGGAACATCGATGAGGACTGGCTCCGCCGTGAGTTCGAGGGCTTCGGTGAGATTGTTGGCTGCCGTGTCATCACTGACCGTGAGACTGGCCGTGCTAAGGGGTATGTTCCTCACCACTTCTTCCTCTAGTACATTCACTGACTTTGCATAGTTTCGGTTACGTTGAGTTTGCCAACGCTGCTGATGCTGCCAAGGCACAGAAGGAGATGCACGAGTACGAGCTCGACGGTCGTCAACTCAATGTCGACTTCAGCACCCCTCGTGCGAAGCCTGATGCCAACGGTGGTGCCCGTGCCAACAAGTACGGCGACAAGCGCAGCCCTCCTAGCAACACTCTCTTCCTCGGTAACGTCTCATTTGAGTGCTCCAACGAGAGCATCCAGGAGGTCTTCGCCGAGTACGGCAGCATCACCCGTGTCTCTCTCCCCACCGACCGCGACACTGGTGCGCTCAAGGGTTTCGGATACGTCGACTTCAGCTCCCAGCAGGAGGCTACTGCTGCTCTCGAGGCTCTCAACGGCCAGGACATCGGCGGTCGTGCTATCCGCATTGACTATGCTACTCCTCGTGAGGACAACGGCGGCGGTGGTCGTGGCGGCGGCTTTGGTGGTGGTCGCGGTGGTGGTCGCGGCGGACGTGGTGGCTTCGGCGACCGTGGAGGTCGTGGAGGTGGCCGTGGCTTCGGCGGCGGTCGCGGTGGAGGCCGTGGTGGTGCTCGTGGCGGCCGCGGTGGTTCATTCAACCGTGGCGGCTTCGGTGACTTCCAGGGTCAGAAGAAGTCTTTCGACTAAATGTCTCAGGATCTTTCATGCCTTGCATGTGTTCCTTGTATTTGCTTTGATCATTTTCGAAGTGTAGGTAATCCGGCTTCCGTACGATATGACGTGAAACGATCATCGGATCTGAGCTTCAGCTCTGGGTATGGCGTTTACGGGTAAAAGTTGCTTGATCAGAGATACTCCATTCCATGCTGTGTTTAAAGCTGGGCGGTGGTTAAGTTATGTAGTATACAATGCACTCTTGAAACACCTTTCTTCTGCTGTGATGTCGTGATAAACATTCATCCTACGATTCGAACATGTGGTAGTTTGCTCAGGTACAGATCTTACCCACTTTTCTATCAAAACAAGCTCAACGGCTTATCTCTCTACTCTGCTTATGTAAGAGCAAGGAGAAGTGTGCCATCCAAGGGATAAGCTATGTCCTGTGCCTAATGTCTGGAATTGATGACTACATCGTACTTGCAATAATAACACACCGTTTTGCTAGCCCTATAGAATTAGCACACACATAGACACGACGACATCACACACCAGCGAACCCAATAATTAACGATCGTGAAGGTGTTCAGATTTTGCATATCTACTCATACAATCAAGAAGCGAAAGTATGACTGGCCCCCAACAGAGAAGCCACAATGTTTCAGAACCAAGGAAAGAAGTTCGGACACTAGGAAAGGACTGACTATGAAGGCAAAGGAAAGGCAACCAAACCAATCGAAAAAAAAACAGTAAAAGCAAAGAGGCTCAAAAACAACAACAAACAAATAAACAAACAAATGCAAAGAAAAAGGGTGTGTTGCTGTGAGAGCTGACCAAACAGCCACGACGAAATCATCGCATGTGTGCTATAAGTACATATGTAAATGCAATGCAATGCAAGATGCAAAGTGATGCGAAAAGCTAGATGCCCATGGAAGAAAGATCATACAGTTTCTGCATCGCTAGCATCGAGTTCAAACTGCTTCTCGGCATCGGCATCAAAGCACGTCTCCCAGCACAAGACCTCACTTGGGAAGTCTTTCTCGACGCTCGGCCTCTCGCGCACGAACCAAGCCAGGCCGGCGCCAACGAAACCGAAGAGAGCGAGGCAAGACCACAGGGCCAGATTGGTAGTTTGGACGCTAACGCCATCGCTGAAATAGTAGCTTGTGCCGCTAACAGCGACGGCGAAAGCCTTGAAGAGGCTGGCGACTTGCATCATGCCGACGACGGTGCCGGCTGAGAAGGCGTCTGGAGTGGTGTTGAGAACGAGAAGAGAGACGAGGACTGTAGCTGCGCCGCTGAGGAGGTGTTTGCAGAAGATTGAAAAGGCGGAGACGATGGGCTCGATGCCGGAGCAGGTGACGAGGAAGGCGAGGAGGGGTGCGATGATGTATGTTGCCGGGAGGAAAGCGGAGACTGAGCGGTAGAGTTTTAGGAGACCGTATTTTTCCGTGGCGTAGGGGATGGCATAGAAGAGGACCATGCTGGCGAGGCCGCGGGCGCCTAGGACGACGACGCTGATGAGTTCGCAGGGGATGCCCATGCCGCCTTGGTCGGTGCTGCTGTGGCCGAGATGGGGGAGGACGACGTCAAAGGTTGATGCGTGGAGGGAGAGAAGGCAGAAGGATGATAGGAGGACCATAAGGGAGGGCGCTTGGAGGAACTGAGAGATGGTGATGGGTTCTGGGCGGACAAAGTCGACGAGTGTAATGTTTGTGTCTTCGGAGCCGCGGCGGAGGAAGGCTGATTTTTCGCAGTCCATGTCGGCTGGGTCTGCAGAGCGTTCGCTGTGAAGGGGTAGTGTCTCCTTGAGGAAGACGCTGGCGAACATTGCAATGACGAACAAGAGGCTGCCGCATGCCAACTCTGAGCCCAGGGTTGGGAAGTCCTGCCATACCATGTTGTATGCCTGAAGGCTATCTGACACCATAAGTTGCATGAGTGGGCCGACGGAGCCACCCAGGGAGATCGACGGCAGCCGAGCGACGTTCCTGGCTCTCTCTTCCGCTGATCTGCTGAGGTCCCCAATCATGGTGAGGGTTGTGCATACGATGGCTGAACTGACCATACCCGCAACGAAACGGAAGATGACGCAGCTCACTAGGCCAGTCGCAAAGCCCATGCTCAAGCAGCAGACGACCATACTCCAGAGCCCAATGAGTGTGACGCGCCGCCTTCCCATGCGATCAGCGAGGTAGCCCCAGAAGAGGCCTGTTGTTCCGCCAAAGGCGTATGCGCAGTCGAGGATGCTCTGGAGGTATGACGACGAGAGGGTCCCGCAGTAGTCTGTTGACGAGAGGAGCATAGCGAGCTGTGGCTGGACACTGGAAGCCATGATTCTACCCAACATGTTAGCATCAGTGCGGAATGCGACTCGGCCCCCTTTGCGACAAGACCGGGAGAGCACTTACGCCTCAGCAAGGAAGACAAAGTAGACCAGCATGAGTTGCGCCCGTCGCGCCCTGTCCTCACCATCCGGCGTATTCTGCGCCTCCGTCTCTTCCTCAAGTTCCCGTTCATCCTCCTCCTCTTCCTCGATCGTAGCCACTATGTCATATTTGCCCAGGTCCTTGACCGGTATCAAAGACCGCGTTCTTCTGTGAAATCCCAACATCTTGCAAGTTCCGAACAACTGACACTGACAGACCAGACTGAAACACTTTGATTCGCTATGACGCGATTACTGCTGTTGTGAGGGAGTGTAAGCAGGCACGACCGGCGTGTCCCTAATAGTGATTGTAATGGCCACAAGGGGACCTAAGAGTATGCTGAGGGAGCGACAAGAAAACTGTCAAGGGAGTGACAGACTCGCCTTGGACTAAGAGTTTGACATTGAGGTCAATCAGAACGACGGCGGCAACGACATCGCGAGGGGTTTGAAGCTGCATGGAGCGGCGCGTGAAACGGAACGTGCAGCCCTAACGTCCTAGCGTTCTATTGGCTCTTTGCCGCCGAGGGCTAGTTTCACAGAAACCCCGAAGCCAAGCCGCTTAGCTCGGAGTCCGGTGATGTCAGCTGCCAGAGGCTTTCAGCTTTATTTACTCCTGATCCACTTTATCCCACCTTATCCGAATCTGATGTTTAGGGTGGTGTGGTGGCGATTCTCAGCCCATCTCCTCAGTAGCGCGCGTGTAGCTTTGCAAATAGTCATGTCTCCACATATTCACGTCTCACCAGGTTTGCAAAGAGCACATTTGAGTTTCCTTTCCACCATTGTTATTATTGTATCCTACACTATCTGATGACCTCTACCACAGCCTTGAGACTCCGTATAACCAAGAAGGAGAAGGGGGGAGATCAAAATCAGTCGCAAGAAGAACCCGCTCAAACAAACGTCATTTGTTTTTTTGTGGAGTTTTCGTTCTGTTCGAAGTGCCACATAACGCCAATGATAGGGTGAAGACGGCCGTGAACACATGCCCGTGCTTCCAGTTCCTCCTCTTGTCGTGTCAATCGTAATCGCAGATCGCAATACGACGGCAAAAAGTCCAGCTAAGTACAGAAATGCGCTATAAGCAAGAGAAAAATCGTGTAAAAATTGGTTATACAAAAGCCCGCTGTTTGTATACAATGCAGTGCGGAAATTACTGCTGGTTCGAAAAGTACATGTAGTTCAGATCATCCAACGTAGTGCTCGGTTCGTACATTTGTTCAAATTGGCCGCCGAGCTGGTTAAAATCGGGAAAGAAGTTTGCGGTGCCGTTGAGTGGCAGTTGGCTTGGTGGCGATGTGTCGAACAAGGTGAAGTCCCCCATCGGCCGATTAAAGCCTTGCATACTCATGTCCATATCGCCGAAACCCTCATCCATGTGCGGCGAATAGAGCGTGACGTCAGGCTGAGCCAACGGCGAGAGGTGCGTATAGCCAGTGTTCAAGGTGCTGTTGGTTGTGAATGGCAGCGGTTCGTAGTCGAACGTAGTGCTCATGGGCGTTGGTTGCTGGAAACCGGTATTGATGGTATTAAAGTTTAGCAAGTTGCAGTTGTAGACGTCGTCATGGTTGATGGCAGTGTCATCAGGAGTGACAGCGTCCTCGAACGACGTTGGCTCGAGGGGAGACTGCTCAGACGAATACGTAAAGTGTGAGCCGTCAGTAGTGACAGAATCACGACGGAACTCGTCTTGATAGTCGTATACACTCATGGCTGGAGTTCCAAAACCATAATCCATCATTGGTACTTGAGGCGAAGGGATGTATGGAGTTACGGGTGTAGTCATGTTTGCAGACATGGGTGTACCGATGAAGGGAGTAAGAGGGGTAGCAGGGCTGCGATCACTGCTGGTGGGACCCTTCTTGCGACCGTTGCACTTTGAACGAACGTACTCCCAACCGTGTGCCTTCTCCATATGCTGCTTGCAGTTGGATTCGCGCTTGGAGGCGTATGTGCATGGCGGGTAGAGGCACTTGTACTGTGCAGGAGCAGCAGAGTGCTTGTCGTTCATATGCCTATCACGTTCCTTCTCAGTCGGCCAACCGAGATCGTAGTATTTGCAGTTCTTCTCAGAACACTTCCACGGGCGAGAGTGGGTCTTCTCGTGCTTTGTTAAGTCGCATGGCCGCTTGAATTGCTTCTTGCAGTCACGGCAAGTGTGCATGACATCCCCTGGCTTCTCCGACTTGCGTCGTCGCGCCATAGAACGAGTGACTTCGTCCTCGTCCTCGTCCTCGTCTGAAAAACGTCGCTTGATGGTAGGCGAGTCAGCGAGTGGAACGACTTTGCCGTTCTTCTCGCGAACCAGCTCAACCGGACGCCCGTTGTGGCTGAGTCCGCCACGAAGAGTGATCTTCTCATCACTACCGAACAGTCTGTTAGTGCGTCCAAACAAGTAGCCATCGGCGAGGTCATACCGTGAATAGTCCATGTCGTCGAGGTCCTCTCCCTTGACCTCTTTTTCTCTTGTGGCAGCCATGATTGAGGCGTATCGTCTAATCTGTTCCATCAAATCGAGGAAGTAGCCGTCAGTATAAGGGCGATCCGATGGTAGTCGCTGGTCTTGTTCGGAGAGGTACTGAACGGTCGTAGCCAATAGTTGAATTGATCGTTGGCAGAAGCGGGAGTACGAGTCCGATGTAGCCGACAGCTCCTTCAAACAGCAGAAAATGCAATAAGCTTCTGCACTCTGCGAAATGCAACGGGTACGGGTTTCACTTACAGGTGCGAGGAAGATGAGGGTCTTCTCGAGGTCACGAAGGTTGCGAATGTTCTTTTCGCCGATACGCCGGGGAACGTCTTTTACTAGGGAGTGGAAGTCCTTCAGGGAATCCTCGGCGAGAATGGGCTTGATGATGGAGTCGTGAATCTGCTTGCACGCGTACTCGCCAAGCGTATGGTCCTCGTCGGATGCCCCAAGAGCCGCGAATGATCGTGTGATGGCCGAGTGGGTGGAACTGATAGAGCTGCTGATGGACTCACGGCTGGAGCGCTGGGTGCGGATATCGTCTTTATATATGTTAGAATGCGGGGCGCCCTGATCTAAGCCGGATGGCTGCATAATGTGCTTACCGTATTTCGATTCACCGATGCTGGTACCCAGACCGCTATCGGAAGCGTGATCGTGTTCTGCCGCAGCTGATTTGAAGACGTCGACGTCAAGCTCCATTGGGGTGCAGTCCATTGAAGTGTTATCAAGGAACAAGCTGGGGACGGGAAATACGTCAGGGTCACTGAGGATGCTGGCACCAGTGTTGGAGGTCTTGTGGCCAGCTACTCTTGCCTCAAAGTCTTTGAGCAGGTTGGATACACGACGGACGCTGGGATCCTGGATGGTCTCTTGAACGAGTTCTTCTAGCCTTTCAGTGTTTGTTGGCGACCGTCGGGGCATGAAGTGTCGGTCCAGGTCGCAGATATCAGATGATATTTGTGTTGGCGACGAGAAAGTGCCACTCTTGCGAAGTTGCATGCCATGGATGCTGAGAGGAGAGGCTGTTCCCTTAAGAGGGCGGCGGCGGGGGTGACAGTTCTGACCGTGGGGTGCAGACATGTTGGCTATGACTGGTTGATGTATCGGGTCGAGTGGGAAAGGCGGCCTCAGGTCGGATGAGTCACGGACTGCACAGTTCCCAAAGCCCAGCGATCCAAGGACCAGATGCGAGTGGTAGTACCGCTCTAGATCACGTTCTCATGGACCGGGGTGGTTGAGTTGATAGATGATAGGCCGGATTGGTGAAAGTGATTAAGCAAGAGAGGAAAGGGCGTTGAGTCCTTTGGTCGTGCGTCGGAGGAGTAGTGCAGGTATATACGAAGGCGCAGCACAAGTAGTAAGACGGGAGGCGAGCGGCACAGATGCGCAAGGGTGGCGGGAGTGCGGTGCAAAAAAAAAAGAGGGGAGGGAAGGCCTTAGGTGTCGAGTTTGGAGGAGTAAGAGGGATCGTGGGTTGGGGTGGTAGGTCGTTCAAAAGGATAGCACGTTGGTGTCGTCGGACCCGTACGCGCTTGCCCTCTCTCAATGTTGTAGCCTAGAAAAGTGGGGATGATTTGCGCCACAATAGCTAGTGTCGGATCAATACGAGGTGCAGCGATTATTCGTAGTTGTACAATAGCAGCCAATCCCATTCGCGTCGCTCCCCTGCTTTGCTGGAGGCGTGGAGACGCCCGTTGATGTTTGAAGCTAGCACGCGAGCTATGCACTGCACCCATCGTTCACCGCACGCAACAAGACAGAAGAGCAACGAGAAAGCGAGGTTATGGCACTTGAGACGGCGGTGACAGCACCCTAGTCAGAAACCGGTCAACTTCAAGAGTGCAGGAACGGTAGCTAGTGCATGCTCGTCAGTGGTTAATTGCATCAGGCGCCCTGCGCCCGTGGAGGCGCGCAGAAGGGCTCAAGGGCTGTGCAGCATGCCGCACGGCATGGACAAACTCACTGCGCCGGCGCCGCTCTCACCAGCATGACGGAACCGGGGCCAGCAGCTAAGCCGTCGCTACTGATAAAAGGCCCAGTCCCGCCCGCCAGGAATTGCACACTTGCGCAACGTCGTCGTATCCGCCCGTCCCGTTGCGTGCCCACCGTGTCCTGACTGTGACGGTGATGTTGTGGGTGAGGGCATACGTGTGCAAATAGTGTTTCATTGGGCGGGTGGCACAGTCTGCTCACCAATGCTCACCAGGTGAGCTCACCGGAATCGTGGGGGCCAAAAGCACGTCGTCAACATGCGTTTCGACTGGCGCTATGTAGGGCTGCGCATGCAGGGCTGAGTGCAATTGATAATCAGGGAGTCACGGCGGGTATGCTTGCGGGGAGCTCCGGGTCCCAGCCGTCTTCGTCATTGTCCAATATCTGCCATCCGAGTCTCTTTCTCTCGCGGCAGAAGCGGACACATGCGCACGAGAGCACTGCTGTTCGTTATATCGCTATCGTGCACTTACCTGGCATGCGTCAGAGTCCTAGAGGACGTTTCCTGTTTCATGACGGCATGAGAATAACGATATCGAAAATAGTCGGTACATGTAACATCCACAATTGCAAAATGGTTACATGGCTTCTCTCACCGTTGGTGAGGCAGGCGGTGGTGAAGTGTCAGAGAGCTGAGACGAATTGGGCTAGCTCCGTATGGGGTAACGCGCATTGCGACCTCCACGAGTCCTCGAATACCAGCACACCCGACGCAACCCTTCCCCAAGCACAAACTCAGACATGGCTTCACCGGCAGCCCACAAACCGCGGCGGCGGCGCAAAATCGAAGAAGGCTCTCTAGCCCAAGTCGCACACGGAACTCTCGATCTCGACCAATCCACAAATGAGCGTAAGCCCGCATTCCCGCTCGTCGCCTTCCTCTGGCCTGCCAAGGGCACCGTCTCGCAATGGGTCACAATCCCCCTTATCTTGATGGCCGTGGGCCTATTCAGGTGGACCGTCAGCTTATGGGGATATTCGGGATATCAATCGCCGCCAATGCACGGCGACTTTGAAGCCCAGAGGCATTGGATGGAAATTACCAAACACCTCCCCGTGTCGAAATGGTACTTTTATGATCTGCAATGGTGGGGACTGGATTATCCTCCTTTGACTGCCTACCATAGCTGGGTACTAGGTGTCATGTATGTGTAAGCACTGGCCATGAATTACAGCTACTAATATACATATAGTGGTTCTGCTATTGACCCCGACTGGTTCGCGCTCGATGAGTCCCGCGCTCTCGATGACCCTTCCCTGAAGATTTACATGCGAGCCACCGTCTTCGTATCCGAATACCTCATCTACGTTCCCGCCCTTGTCATCTTCCTCCGCCGATATTCGCGACTAGAAGGCGTAAACATTTGGGAATCGTCGATTGCCTTGGTGGCTATATTGATGCAACCTGGCGCCATTTTGATCGACCATGGACACTTCCAGTATAACACTGTCATGTTGGGTTTTGCAGTTGCAACCTTGTCGAGCATGGTAGCTGGAAGGCCGCTATGGGCATGCGTCTTCTTCGTTGGCGCGCTTGGATTCAAGCAGATGGCCCTCTTCTATGCGCCCGCCGTATTTGCGTACCTCTTGGGCATTTGTCTTTTCCCAAGGATCAACATTGTGCGGTTTCTTGCAATTGCGCTGACTACTGTCGCCGCGTTTGCTGTACTATACCTCCCATTCCTGCTGGGTGTTGCATACGACGTCTATACTGGCTTCAACCACGCGCCTCTGGAATATCCACCCCTGATGAACTTGGCGCCTTTCGCCTGGGATATGGAGGCTTGGTATTTCCCCTATGTTTTGGAGCTAGGCCAGACGATCCACCGTATTTTCCCATTCTCTCGTGGACTTTTCGAAGACAAGGTCGCCAACATTTGGTGCACGATTCACACTGTCCACAAGCTTCATCGCTACCCGATAGAGCTGCTTCAGCGGCTTGCGCTGCTTGCCACGTCCGCCGCTATTCTACCACCTTGTTTGATCATTTTCTTCAAGCCTAAAAAGCAGCTTCTTCCACTTGCGTTCGCAGCTGTATCATGGGGCTTCTTCCTTTGTTCATATCAGGTGCACGAGAAGAACGTCCTACTCCCACTTCTGCCTATGACACTGCTCCTAGGCGGAAATGATGGTCTCTTACCTTCTATTCGCGCATGGGTGGGTCTTGCGAACATGCTAGGAATCTGGACCATGTTCCCACTGCTGAAGCGGGACGAGTTACGGGTCCCATACTTTATCATATCTCTTCTGTGGGCCTACCTACTTGGTCTTCCTCCAGTCTCTTTCTCTACATTCCATGAAGGTAGTCGAGGTGGGTTGAATGTGTTCAGCAAAATGCTCCATACTAGCATATATCTTGTGATGGTCGCATGGCATATCGCAGAGGCTTTCTTTCTTCCTCCTGCTGGCAAGCCAGACCTTTGGGTTGTTGCAAACGCGATTGTCGGAACTGGCGGGTTTGGCATTTGCTACCTGTGGTGCTTGTGGCAATTGGTGGTCAAGAGCGAGTTGTTTGGAGGGGCGAAAAGCAAGAAACAGTAAAACTAGAGGATGTACATTATCACATTTCAGCAGTTCTTCAAGATACCCCGGCGAAAGGTTTGGAGGGAAGATTCCGGTTTCATTCATATACTCAACTACATGAAACCATCCAAAGCATGAAACCATCTATCGCTCAACGCCACCCATATGCCTTTGTTGTACAAGTATTGTGTGTTCGTCTAGTATATACACCGCTGCCATAGGTAGCTATATTTTGAAGCCGTATCCGGCCATGCACTGTTTGTACTGACCAACGAGGTCGGCGCATTCCTTCTGCGCATCGTTCGAGGTGGAGAAGAGCATGCACTCGTCGCGTTTCGCTTTCTCGTCGGTGCATACGCAGCAGGGCTTGTGCGAGGTCAGCGTGAATTTCTTGAAATTACCAGATATCGCAATCGGTACCTTTACTTTGGCAGGCGCAGCGGTGTTCTTGAGGTCTGCGCCCATGTTGGCGGCGGTTGGCGGTGCTACATGTCACTGGTTAGCGAATCTGCGTCGCATGGTGAGTCCAATCGGCGTGAATGCGTACCTGAAGACATTTCGGGTGTGTCGTGGTGAATTGACGGTGCTTAGCAATCGGGTTGCGCTCCAAAAGTTCCGGCCATCATGTCATCGGCCGGGCTTTGCTTGGCACTCACTCCCGCGGCCCCGATTGGCAAGGGTCTAGACAATGAACCCCCACTACGCCCGCCAAAACATTGCGCCTGCGACTCAGACAAACCCTCGCCCCCTTTGTTTACTCAGCTCGTTTTCTTGAACATTTTTACCACGGAAAACCAACGTTGTAGACAAAATGGCCGGTGCAAAGGTCTTTTCTATTGAGGGCAAGGGCCTCAAACTCACCACTGCAGAGGATATTGAACCCCACATTCAGGACTTGAAGAGTAATGACAGTGTGGAGGAGATTAAATTTCTAGGAAACACTCTAGGTATTGGGGCGAGTGAAGCGTTGGCCAAGGTCCTTGAGAGCAAGAAGAACTTGCAAGTATGCTCTCTCTTCTCGAACCATTACTGGTAGTTTGGAAACACTCACACGACACTAGATCGCCAATCTTGCCGACATCTTCACCTCACGTCTTCTCTCTGAGATCCCACCTGCGCTGTCACATCTACTTACTTCGCTCCTTACCCTACCAAACCTGCACACGGTGGACCTCTCCGACAATGCGTTTGGTCTGAACACTGTTGCACCGCTAGTCGACTTCTTATCGCAACATACGCCACTTCGCTACCTCTACCTAAACAACAACGGTCTCGGCCCAGCTGCTGGTGTGCTCGTTGCCGATGCGCTCACTGCGCTTGCCGCAAAGAAGGAAGCCGCACGAAAACAAGGCAAGGATGTACCAGATCTCGAGCTCGTCATCTGTGGTCGTAACCGATTGGAAAACGGCAGTATGGCCGCATGGGCAAAAGCCTATGCAGCCAACAAGGGAGTCAAGACCATCAAGATGACACAAAATGGTATCCGGCAGGAAGGTATCTCACATCTCATCACAAACGGCCTGGCCCACCTCACCCAGCTTGACACGCTCGATCTCCAAGACAACACCTTCACAGCCATGGGCGCAAACGCCCTCAGCAAAGCCGTGGGCAACTGGACCGAACTCCGCGAACTCGGCGTAGGCGACTGCCTCCTCAGCGGCCGCGGTGGTATCGCCCTTGCCGCTGCCCTCGAAAAAGGCAACAACAAAAAAGTCGAAGTGCTCCGCCTCCAATTCAATGATATCAATGCAAAAGGTCTGGCTGGTCTCGCCTCCGCTTCCTCAACTGCACTTCCTCTGCTCCGCCGTGTAGAAATCAATGGTAACAAGTTTGACGAAGAGGACCCCAGTATCGAGAAACTTCGCGATGTGCTCGATGCACGAAAAGAAGAGTCGGGGAAGCATGCTGATGACGAGGAGTACTGGGGTCTTGATGAGCTGGACGAGCTTGAAGACGAGAGCGAGGATGAAGAGGAGAGTGATGAGGAGGGGAAGAAAGGTGACGACGATGATGAGGCCGGTGTGGAGGTCGAGCAGAAGGCTGCCAGACAAATTGCAGATGACAACAAGGCCGAGGAGGCCAACGTGCCGCAGGACAAAGATAAGAAGGTTGATGATTTGGCCGATTTGATGAGTAAGACGGAGATTAAATAGATGAGGAGGATAGCTTGGATTGGTCTTGTAGTTAGAGAAGGAATAGGAATGGGAGGCGGTGTCATGCATTTAGCGGCTTGTATAGAATCACAACAAGAAGGTTCCATGACTTGTCAGTTTTCTTGTCCTCACGTTCACTACTACACACGATGTGAAATTAACGTTAGCGCTAATCCCAGTGCCGATCTCTTGATAGCTAAAGTGTGAGGTGGACCGTGACTATCAACCCCAAGACGCCATGGATCAATTGATTTGCCATTACCACTCTCGTGGTTACCTGATGTATTCCCAAGGTTGTCAAACAAGCCCACTTCTAAACTAGATGGTTGTTTGGGGCCAGTTGCTACGTCACTGGCTTAGTCAGACATGGCGAAATCAAACATGAATATTACCACCGAACGCTCACGTGCTTGTGAACGAGACGGCGGTGAGTTGTGCAATGTTGGTGAAGGTGATATGCGAATACGAGGGGGAGCTTGTATATGTACGAACTTGCGGACACATTCCCTGGATTTCTTCTCCGCATCATGATCATGATCATGATCATTTTCTTCTTACACCACCACTTCCTCTCACACCACTATACATCCTCTATCTCTCCTCCTCATGCTCGCCGCGACTGTTACAGCAAATAGATGCGGTATTGTGAACGTCGAGTTTGAATGCGAAAAGGTTGGAGTAAGCAATTCTCGACTCTACCTATCCTCATAATTCAATTGTTTCTGACAGTACCCGTAGGACAACAAATACAGTAGCAAGAAAGCCGAAGCTGATTTTTCTGAAAAAGTTAACGCTCGGTGCCTCGCTTTCGGTCAAGGTAAATGGATGAACAAGGGCACATTTGCAGACAAAACCTGCGTCCGAGCTGGTGACGACCATTTTAGGAGATACAGGGTAAGCAGGCCTAGGTCAACTTATCAATGTATTCCTTGTTGTTAATTCGTGTGTTTTTAGGCAGAATGCTGTGCTTAGGAGCCTCCTAGGTATATACAGTTGTGTGCACCGTTAGTATACTGATACTGACGCAAAGTATCAGAACTATGAGGAAGGCACTTTTTATCACGGAGATTGGGGGAGGGGGGGTGTCAGGGGTTTCAACCCAAGATGTCATGGATCGGCGCAAATGGCATGCGTCCAGTCAGATAAGCGCGATCATCAGAGATCCTACCATCTTACCACTAAAGTGCTTACTCATGTGGACGGGACGTCGATGAGTTGGTGAAGCGTATGCGAATACGAGCGGGGGCTTATATGTATGAACATGAGGAGCCGTTTCCTGGATCTCTTCTCCGCAACTTCCTCTTCCTCTCCGCGTCCTCTTTTCTTACACCACTACTACTTCTCACAATACCACTTCCTCTCATACAACCATGAACCCTATATCCCTCCTCGTGCTCGCCATGACTGTCACTGCACAGTTTTGCCCTCTCCGTGGTGGTAGTGGCGGTAGTGGTGGCATTGTACATCTGTACGCCACCGTCCCATGCGAACGTATTGGGAATGTAAGAAAATTCGCGACTCCATCCGAACTACCGTACCGTTTCTGAGATCACTCGTAGGGGTACCAAGTTAGCTCGGAGACATCTCGAGACCTTCCTGCCCGACTCGAGCAACTGTGCATTCAACGATATCCATCTAATGATGTATATTACGTCTCAGGCGCTTACGGAGACAAACAATGTAGCGAAGTTGATAAGCAGTGGATTCGCTATTACGATGTAAGAAGGCCTACTCTAGTCTGTGTAAGCAGTACTTATCATTAATGCGTATGTGTTTAGGCACAATGTTGTGTTCCTCGTTAGGAGCCTCCTAGGTATACACAGTTTATATGTACATTTTGTACATTGATACTAACGTGAAGTATCAGAGATGTGAGGAGGAAGGCGCTTTTCATCAAGGAGATCGGGGCGAGTCAGGGGTTTCAACCCAAGATGTCGTGGATCGGCGCAAATGGCACGCGTCTAGTCAGACAAGCGCGATCACCAGAGATCTCACTATCTTACCACTGAATGCTTACTTACGTGGACTTTTGGAGGCTGCCTGTAAATACGAGGAGAGATTACGTACCTACAGTAGGTACCTGGGTATATGAACGTGAGCAGCTGCTTCTTGAATGTCATTTCTGTGTCCCATTCCTTTCAAAACTTCATAACATCATGCGATCTCTCTCCAACTCTCCTCGCTCTCGCCGTGGCAGTTATGGCACAAGATGTACCCTGTAATAAAACTCTAGTGGTACTCGCCCCCTGGACTGAGGATGCAGCGGTAAGAGTCCCTGTCTTGCTACAAATAGAATCCATTATTTCTAACGCCACCTACGCAGGGCAATTACGCAATCAGCCAGAAAACCTTTGACGACCTTCCGAATGCATCTGACGCCTAATGCAAAGTCATGTACAGACCAAATTTCACATTCAAAGTCGACTCAGACGCTTTCCATCCGGAGCCTTACCAAGGATACATAGGCAAAGATTATACTCGCACCTGGAAGGTGAGTACATCTACTTTAGGCTTGCTATCCAGTTCTTGTAGTTAATACGTGCGTATGTAGGGAAAGTGCTACAGTATTAGGAACGATAGTAATCCTAGGCTTTAGGGGCGAGATAATGCACAAAAGTCATGATATGGGGTATGCTTTAGTGCTAGTAAGCACTTTCTTGGGCTACTACCAGGAACGGGTACAGGCATAGCGGCTGGGGTTGGGGTTTCGGCAACTCGAGTCAAAAATTCATGTCATACACACAGTATGAATCGCTGGGTCGATCGCTGGATATGCAGACAAACAACATCCTGATGATGATCGAAGGTAGCCCCGTATTTGCATTGATATCCGTACATGATCCGGCAGTCTTACCTGCCGACATAGGCATCATAGTCTTAGCACCTTAGACCGTCATTTGATTGAAAACTCGTCTCACTTTCCAAAAACTTCGATTGCGCCAATTCTTGCATCATCAAAAACTCGCATGTCATCATCACTCCAGGATCCTGCGTCTTTTTTGGATATTAGATGCAGGTGCCGTGCATGTTGACTTGCAGGGTCCATTTCTATGATCGCCTAGTACACCCTCTTCTCCACCTTGGAATCTCAACAAGAAAGCTAGGTAGATATGGAGATACCATATGTCGGTAGTCATGGGTGCTATAGCCGGACCAAACGTCATTTTTCCCTGTGACGAAAATGATTGAAGTCCAGGCACCCAATGGCTGTGCCAAGAGCACTTAAGCCCTGAAATAGTACCACGGTACCTAGGTACTATCCTTGGCGTACTGACTTGGAAACCACAATTTTTTACGTAGTCTCGACGAGATGCTCTACCAAGCTCATCCAAACTTGCCTCAATAAGGGACCTATGTTACAATGTAATAAATATTCCATTTCCTACTTGTCTCTACATACTCTCCCTTCTTCTCTCATTCCACGCACACAACACACAAACACAATCATGCACCTTCTATCGCTTCTCCTCCCTTTGATCGCCCTAAAAGTCTCTGCCACGGATTCAAAGAACGAAATAGGATTTGATTACTTCATCCCATTTCAACCACCATGCATCCCCCGAAGGTTCTGGATCGACTGCACCGAGATTGAACCCGTAACGCCTCCTCCCCTGTAACCTAAGATTCAAAGCTCTAACACTTCACGCAGGGCAAATGGATACCGGCCGAAGAACCTATGACGAATATTCCGTTTGTAGAAAAACGTAATTGCCAATACGAGTGGGGGGTGTCGGCTTGGGTTCCGTTCAACAATGGCAAGTTGGGCAACATAGGGTGCTTCTATGAGAAGATTATGAGGAAAGTTGTGATTGATTATACTGTGAGTGGAGAGTTTGAACGCGAAGTGTCTCTGGCTGATCAAGTTTGTGTAGTCGTCGTGTTGTCCGCCGCCCTGGAAGGAGGATATAGAGAGCGAAGAGCAAAGTATCATTAATAGCTTGGACGCAGGTTTCGATCCGGAGAGTGACTTGAACGATGACATTTACTCGGGTGGTGGGTGGTCTGTCGACACCTCCACCTGGGAGAGCTTACATCAGAAGTGAGAGTGATGGGAAAAGGAGAGGCGTTCAAGTGGGATATGTTGAATACTTGTATACCTAGTATACATGTGGAAACAGTCATAACTTGCTCATGTCATGGCACCGGTAGACAAAGGCTTTTCCAAGGACTACTCCTTGTCTTCTCCATCACTCCTATCCTCCTCCCCATCCTCCTCAGAGCTACTCGTTGTCTTCTTCTTCTTCTTCTTCTTCTTCTTCTTCTTCTTCTTATTCTTATTCTTCTTCATCCTCCTCATCCTCATCCTCATCGAACCCACCCTTCAGTTCCTTCTTGGCACCGAGGCTAACCTGACGAGCCGCAGCATCGACAAATACATGCCGCTCAGCGCCTATTTCAAGTGCCGGATCTGCATTTGCCATCAAAGGCTTGTATTCATGTCCCAGCTCTTCTAAAAACGCCCGCATTTGATCTTCAGCCATGTACTTTCCCACAGTTCCCCAGGCGAAGACACGGTGCTCACCCTGCATCGTAGAAAGACTCTTTACATTCGCGCCTTTACTCCAAGCGTTTCGCAAAACTTGGCAGCAATAATGGAAGTACAGGTATCGAGCCCGGGGCCGGAAATTTCCACGGAAATGGAGCTCTTGGTTGTGTAGGTCTCTGAACTTGACGGGCACGGCCTTACCAGAAGACATATCGTCATACACATCCTCATCTAAGGCACGCCGTGCGTTGTCAAAAAAATTTATCTTGTACTTTCGCGGTTCCTGGTTCAGCCATAATGCGACTTCTGCTTTTGAAGACGGATTTTTGATGGCTGGTACAATGGCCATCATACCATTATCAAACTGTTCTTCGACTAAAGTCGGCAACATGAGTCCGTTTGACGCCGAGAAAAGCTCGCCTTTTGCGTCCAGTACGAAGATTGCCGTCATCATCTCTTGGCCGTGTCGACAGGCTACAATGTGTGAGGCCGTGAAGGCTGTCCTAGGCTCGTATTGTCGTGAAATCATATTCCAGTATTTATTTGGAGTATCAGGATGTACCACATCATATTGCCGAAGAACCTCACTCTTAAAGTCACTTTGATTCTTTGCATCGCGACGCCTTGCCATGGTCTCTCTGATACCGAGCCCTAATGGGGAGCTTGTGAACAGCTGCATAGACACATGCCGAGATCTGCGCTCAGGGTTCTTACTGCTAACCTTCATTTCTATCTCCCTTGTACGGTAGACCTTGCGTTCACTTTCCCAGAACTTGACTTGTACATTGAGGGGGTCAGCAATTGGGGGTTTCATGAAGTCCTCCTCACTTTTTTGTCCCACCGCAACGTAGTTGTTTGCTGCTTTGTGAAGCTCTAGTTGTGATGAGGTTTTTCCTAACGCGGCTATTTGCACAGTTTGTGCCCAATATTCGGAGTCGAAACTGGTCTTGGGCTTCAAATTTGATTTGATTTTCTTGAAGTCTTCCCGGACTTTGGACAGTTGAGTGTCTAGCTGGTCATTTGTCTCGAGAAGCCTCTTGCTTGAAGTGCGGTCTGGTATAACCGGAGGCGGCATGGAAGATCTAGATTTGGAATGCTTAGGTAGGTTTGTGTTTTTGGATGATAACATTTTGGCCTGGTTTAGGTTTGAACTTTCAAAGTTAGGTGCAAGAAAAAAGGAAGAACCTTAAGGCTAGGGAATGCAAGTACTTGTACTCGATACCGAGCGCAGATGCTATGCTTGTTACTGGTAAACTTTTCTCTTATATGCGCGATTATCCGTTTATTGCGGGGGTTTAGGTGACGAGCTGGTTCTGTCACATGCGCGATTCTCCGTTTATGGTGGGGGCTTGGGTGACGAGCAGTGACGAGAAGGTATCATACGTTTGGTTCAGGCTCCACCGCTATTTGAACAACCATGGTTACGATTCTGTTCAAGCCAATAACGAGCTCTCGCGCTCACCTTTGTCGTGTAGATCGTGAAGGCGAAGGTACGTGTCATCAGTTTCCTCGTCATAGTCGAGTTCGACGACGGTCTTGTTGGCACCCGGGTGACATAAAACACTTCACATACAAGTGTACAAAGGCCGATGTAGTCTTCAGGCACGCCTATTGGGTGCTTATCCACACAGTCATACACATGCGTGTCGCACACAACAACTGTTCCACTGAATTCACGGGACTACACCGCACAACTCCCGATGACGGAGCACGTGTCATCGTTGAATGACATGATGTAATACTGCCACGAATTAAATGGATACACATGATGGATTACAAAAGTGCGCTGAGGCGGGGGCTTAAGGCCGCGCAGCTATTAACAATAACATCGCCAGTCTAACCTAAAAATGTAACCGCAGGGTAAAGGATGTGGTGACGATGATGTATGCGCCTTGCCAATCGATACATTCATCATCGCATACATGCTAGAAATCGCTGCCATAATCGCCATCATCATTCCAATCGTCGTTCTCTAGTTCTTCCCTTGCAGCCAGTTTCCTATCGACCTCGCTCTCACTATCATTGGAATCGCTAGCCAGGCCCATTTGGTCATAGACATCGTCCATAGTCATTGCATCCATAACTTCATCTTCATGAGCCTGTAGCGCCGCTTCGAGCTCCAAGTCGTTATTGTGAGCCGTGGGGATCCAGGCACCGCTTTAATCGGCATCACAGACCGGCCCAGAACCGTAAGGCTCGTGGTCATACTCTTCCTCAGATAGTTCATCCTCTTCATCTTCATCTTCGGTATATTCTCCACTGTTATCATCGCTGATTACGATTGGGTCGGTGATTGGCTGAGCCGTTTCTGCGCCGATTCCATCGATTCCGGATGTTCCTTCCACATGAACTTCTGATGGAGCGTTGTTGCCACCATTTGGGGATTGTACTTTGTGAACCACGGCATGTTCACCCGCTGGAACCCCAATTTCAGTGTCTGGAGCTTTCGAAGTTTCTTCTGGTTGGACGTCTGCAGATTCAGAGTTTATCTTGGTCGTAGTCGGAACGTCAGCGACCTCGAGCTGTGCTGCAATCTCATTCTGCTCTCCTTGGGCAACTTCTGTCCTTTTGTTCTCCAATTCAGTCGTGGAATCCTTCCTGGTTGTCGTGGTCGGCTCAGTAGCGTTGGGGACTTTGAGCCTCTTCATGTCCATGGGCTGTTGTACTGCCCCATGGTGTTCGGGCTCCTCGGAAGCTGCGCGTTTCAATCCAGATATCACAGCCATATTTTCGCAAGTTTCTGGGTTGCAGCTACAAAAAAATTCTAGTCAGTTGAGATAAGATATCTACCTCTTGATCGCCAAAAGAAAGTACTAGAATCCAAGTTTGGCGACGATGACGACGACGGCAGACATTAAGGGGGGATCTATCCCGGACTAGCGCATCCCTGTAAATTGAGCTGACGCATCCGAACATCCGGGGTGGAATGAAGTCCGGTAGGATTGCGCTTATATTCGTTCAAGACTCCAGGTGCCCGAGAAATTTCAGGGCGTACGCTGCCATTATGATGGAGAGAGAATGAAAAGCGGTCTTCATACGGATACACCAGATAGGTGCAACCTGCAGACACATGCGAAGCGATTATACTGGCTACGCGGTGGCGCTCGTTCGTGACACGATGAAAGGATACATAGTAGTGGAGCTGCGTCAGTGGGAGGAGTACGTGCGGGCCAATCAGCAGAATCACGATACTAGGATTAGCGTATTGGCCCAACCTCCTCTTGTCTGCCCAACGCTCTTGACTGCTCACTCTTCGTAAGATCGCTTTTTCCCAAATCTCGCTCTATTCCATCGCGCACCTGGGCGACAAAAATACTTAATAGTGTGGGTTAGCACCGAATAGCCGTGTCTAGCGACTACGGTAGCCTTTGTACACTAGCATGTTAAGTATTCTATGTTACCTGGCTGCTACGTTACTCTCTCCCATAGTGCGATTTAGTTCCTTAGCGCATACTGATAAGCCTCATCTCTATGCTTATATCTGCTAGTTAAATGCCGTATTGCGCGAGCGTAACACAACTGCCAGATCTTGCCTGCAGCTCCAAACTGCTGCCTATGATCCACTTTTGTCGTCCTCGTCCGGCTGTGCTCTGTGGAAATGGAGACTCAGAGCGTACTGTAGACTTGAGCACAAAAGATTTCAATATGAGTGCCACATTCATGCATATGCACAGCCAGGTGTCGCCTGTCGTGTGACACCAATGGCCAATGGCAGACTCAGCTGGGCGGTAGCTTTATATATCTGATCACAGCCTAGTTGACACCTCACACTCGATCTTTGCAATACTCCAATCTTCATATGCGCTTGAAATGCTCGATAGGAATATCTGTTGTACATATTATGGAAAACATTGGCTTGCGAATCGCCGAAAATGCCGCTCTGCTCGGCCAGATATGTGACAAGCCTATGCTTCCAACACGCAACGACCCAATCGCAGTTAACGTTCTGGGAGATAGAACTGTCAGTTTCCAAGAAGAACTAGAGATCGTTAATTGTGTCAACTATCTTGCTAGTTATAGTGATCATCCTGGGGAAGTCATGGCCCTATGTATGGAAGAGCTGCCGAGTCATAAAGGTCTAATTATAACGGTCGCAACCAACACAGGATCTACAGTACGCTTGGAAGATGGCCTACGAGATATGGCTGATGTTCTGCAACAGCAAAACAACGGTCAGTAACTACATCCCCAAAGACTTTGCCCAGCAGCTTATTTGCAAAGACAACCCAGCGGACAGATCAGATGCATTACTCTGTCAAGTAATAATGCGGGGTAAAGATCGGTTCATGCGGCGTTTGAACTATGTCCCATCCTCCAATCCACAGCAGGCAATGGAGAGTACCACAGCCCGGCGCTTGAAAAGAGTCTTAGACTATGCACAAAGAGTCAACCCCGAACTGAAGCAGTCACGTCGTCATCTATTCAACCTTGCAGAGGAATTCGGCTATCTTTCTCAGCTGAGTGTAACATCAAATCATGATGAAAGCGCTGGAGCTTCCAGTGTCCGGAGCCTGGTCGCGATTGCCAAGATCGTAAGCAAGATGTGGAAACGCCATGGCGATCTGCTTCCCAAGCTTATTGCCAGCGTGCCAAACTTCGATATGGATCCATGTGCGAGAGACAGCCTCAAATTGCGACTCGGCCATATAGGACACTACCTACCTACAGTACGCCGACTGTTAAGCTTTGCTGGAAGATTCAGAGTCTTTGGATCTATACAGATACTTCCAATTCACTTCAAGCCGTACGATCTGTCTATTGCCCTGGATCGTCATAGATCGGACCTCCAGCAACAACGTTTACAAGCGGTGACTCAGAGTTTAAGAGTGACGAACGCTTGGCAACAGAAGTTAGGAGATGCAAAGATTAATGGTAAGAGGAACGTAACAACATACATAAAACAGGCTCAATCTGGGGGGCACTTCAGAGTCCACGCTGAAATTCAGATACTCTGTTACTACGAGCATTATCCAATTACAGCGTATCCGCCCCGAGTGCTCAAATCTAGCAAGGACGCATGCTTCCTCTGCAATCTATTTGTCAAGACACACTAGACTCCGCAACAATCAATTCAATCCGGTCACTCTCCTAGACCCACTTACCTATCTAGGTAGGGCTTAAACTCCTATAGGTAACTACTAGGCTTAAAGCGGTAATCAATCAATCCAATCTGAACCTTCTAGGACCCACTTAATTGATTGTTGCGGACTGTGAGACACACGGTAAATTCTACATATCGAAAACCCATGGAAAGGTATACAGCCCTTGGATGTTACCAGACCTATACAGTCTTGCTCTAAGCAAGAAGCACCGAAAGAATTTCGTACGCGTTACCGATGTGTTTAACAGAGCCCTTGAGGAAACCATCGTCACTTCAGCTCTGCGAGCAAAACGAACAATACCGGAGCCACATGAGAGCGGAATATTTTCCCTCGTACATTCGTCATATGCTGCTTCCGATGCCACTATTCGGGGGCCATCAGAATCGAGAAGTCTGGCTTGTTTGGGTACGCCCACAGGCATGCCTACAGTCAGCACACCAGAGTCTATGCTACCGCTCACACAAAGTGGGCGACGATAAGAGAACTTCGGTATCCTCATTCCTATTCCAGAGGGCGCTCCATCACAACCAGAGCCACTCCAATCTGCAGATGAAACTGTACAGGTGGCTGCTTCTATCTTCCCACCTCCCATACTATACCTGCAACAGGGCAAGCCTTTCACATGCGTCTTCGACGAAACCGAGCCCTATTTACGCTTTCATACACCCAAAATCCATGTGGAAATATCCCACGAGGAAGCGCAAAGACTAGCTGATATAAACCCACCATCCAATCATGAAAAGATGTTGGTAGCAATCACCATCGAGGTCACTTGGCTTGGAAGTGATGAGAGTAACGAAATGACGACACCCAAGGATCATTCCATCAACCTTGACTCTAGGTGGACCGAACTCACAGCCGTGGACGGCATTTTGTTTACAGATGAAGGCCTACTCATGAGGAAAGGGGACGACATTGTCAGAGTACGCGCACTCCATGTTGACTCGCACCAAGGCGAACGGAAAGACAGTTTACATGATTAATGCCACGTGAGTACCAACAAGACAGAATATGGCGCTTGCTGAGTCTTCCAATAGATCAGGGTGAGGGTACAGTCGCGGAATGTGGGGTAAGAAACCCGCACTGTGTCGCACAGCACAGACTGGATGCACCTGCATCCCCAAGAAAACTAATCGATTGCATCGACCGAGATTCTGGTCCCAAAATCCACACAACAAAAAATTTCCATCGACGATTTCTACGGCTACATCAGTAGACTAGTTAGTTACTATAATGTCAATCCATCGCCCTAACGTCAACTTATTGCTACCTACAAACTCATCTTCGACTACATCATCCTATCAACCCACCACACCAACCCAACTACCAAAAATGTCAACCCCAATCCCAACTCCACCCTTCTTGAATCTCCCCCTTGAACTCCGCCAACAAATCTACCACAACCTCCTCGCACCCACCCTAAGGACGCACCGCCTTCTCATAACTCTCGTCCAACGCCCATCTACCACAACCTACACCCTCCACAGCCTCTCCCACATCGCTTCCCTTCTCACCACCTACCGCACCCTCTCCACCGAGATCCTCATCTATACCTTCACGCACTTCACTTTCCACTTGCTTCCCCCACCCAACAGTACCCCCGCCTCATTGTGCGCGAGTTCTACCGAAGAATCGGGTCTAGCAACAGGTCGCTTGTGAAGAAGATCGTGGTCCCAGAGTTCAGTGTTGAGGACGTGGTGAGAAATCCGGCGGGTATGGTGGCGGTTTTCGCGGGGGAGAGGATGAGGAGGTGGTGGGTGGTTGAGGAGTTGCAAGGCGTATTTTTGGGGCTAGGAAGGTTTGCGGGGGTGAGGGAGGTTAGGGTAGGTGTGGATGTCAGGGAGGTTGTTAGAGGGGAGGGCGAGGGGAAGGTGTGTTGGCAGAGGGGGAATGAAAGAATGCGTGAGATGGAGAGGGGAGGGAGGTTCAGATCTGAAATCATGGTTGCGCTGGAAGATGCAAAGGTTCTTCCTCAGACTGTGACGTTGGGTATTTGGTGGAAGGAAAGTACGAGACTAGATGGGCTTTCCAGCGAGGAGGTGGAGAAACTCAAGATAGCTGTTTTGACGCAGTTGAAAAAGGCGATTACGCCTGTTCAAGTGGTTTGTAGAGGTGCCTTGTAGCCATAGACTCGAATCAACAGCAATTCCTCATATACATTTCCAACTCCTCATAGCCATCTGTCTCCACAATCAAGCGACATCACGAGCTAATGGCGCTCCTTCCAAACATAGAGAATCAATGCAGTCACAATTTAGCACTCTGAAAGACCAGGCATTTCGTTACATCGCATAAGGTTATCCAAATCAATCATAGTGCGCCTCCCCACCACCCACCTCTCAGCCTACTTCCAGCCTACTTCCATTCCCTTCTTCCTTCTCCTTCCCCAACGACAACAGCTGATCCATGTAAACCCTCCAACAGCCGCTCCACCATATTCTGCTACGATCTATCCACCAATCTCTCGACGTAGATATCGAGCAAAATAAGTAAACAGAAGATGCCTACAAGGGCCGATAATAGCGAGGGAGGGCGCACGCGTTGTTCGAGTAGAAAGGTGATGTAGGTAGCGAGGCTAAAGAGGATGTAGAAGAATTCAAAGTCCATAGGAAGAAGGGGGTAGGGTGGAAGTTGCGGGTGGATAGTGGGGTGATAGAAGGCTTGGGAGTTATATTAGAGGGGATGTGTTTGGTTGTAGTAGTGAGGATGATGTGTGCAAGTCACAACGATCTGCAGCAAACCCGTGGGCAAGGCAAAGAAGATCACAAAGCAAAGCCGGCAGTTTGAACGTCACCTTCGTATTAACCAGGGCAAATGATACGAAAAAACAACGACTAATTTACAGAAAACCCAAATCCAACGCCTACCCCCCAAATTTTTCCCTTATATGAGTGCATACCAAGCTCATCTATCAGATCGCAGGCTTCACGTCCTTGACATCCTCATCCTCATCTTCTTCATCTTCCTCTTCCTCGCTATCCTCATCCATACCCTCGGCCGCATCCACAGTAAAAGGTGGCGCCTGATCCACACCAAGGTAACTATCACTAACAAGATAGCAGTTCAACTCATGCTTGCCAGGCTTCTCCAGCGTAAACTCGAGCACGGTCTGCAACTTGCGCAGGATAGGCACTTTCTTGATGGCCAACAGCGTGCGCTCCTTCTGGTCACCGACGACCAGCCACCAACTCTCCGTCTTGTCGACAGGATAGAACGGCGCGTGAACTTCTGTCTTGAGTTCCTCGTCCTCCTCAATGTTGCGTGTGACGCGAACTTTGAGTTGGGCGGGCGAATTCGAGGCAATGTTTTCTGGATCGACGAGTTCTAGCTCGAGCTCGACGTTGGGGTAGAAGTTGTTTGTGAAGTTTGCAATGTCGGCGAGTTGGCGCTGGTCGACATTCAGGGCCGCAATGAGCTTCTTGTAGTCTGGGTTCTCGTCGGGATCCATGGCGTTGATGAAGTCGTCGACGTCGTTGATGTCGAATTTCTGGGCTGCCTTGATCGTGTCGGCGTCGAAGTGGGGGATTTGCTTGAGTGGTGAGTCCTTCTGCCACATTGCTTGGACCACCATCTGTGAGAGCTCCATGGCAGACATGGCGTTGAGGTGAGCTTCGGACGAGAGGACATCAACACTGGCGCTGAGGATGTTGAGCACCTTTCGCAGCACGGTTTCTTGGTCTTTGGCCAGATCAATCGGGAGCTGCATGCGCGAGAAGTGAGCTTGAAGCAAGACGAAAGCCTTGAAATGCGGCGTCTCGAAGTTGGGCTCGGCCATCTTAAAAGGAACGCGGTCGTAGATGCGTTGTAAGATGTGGTCCTCGTGTCTTCGTATCTGAATATCTTCGAACTCTGTGGCGGCGGTGATAATCTCCAGCACACCCTTCAAGCTGGTCCTGCCATTGAGAGACATCATCAGAGTCTGCATGGTAATGAAGGAGATGTTGTAGTACGCGGCGATCATGCATGGGTTGAGAGGCGTGATGGAGTCTTCATCCTCATCGTGCTCGATCAGCTGGGCATCCGTCAGCTCCTTCAGCGTTTGCTCAACCATGTCTGACAGATGCGCGCTGAGACCTTCGTGCGAAGTGCTGTGGAGGTTGTAGTAGCTAGGATTGGCTAGCAGACGACGGTAGAAGTACGTGTATGTTGACCAATCAACAGCCTCTTGTGTGGATTCGATCGTCTTTGCGCTGATTTCGGCGACAAAGGCATCATGAAGGTAATCGGGGAGATGACTCTCGATAGGCAATGCCTCGTTCAAGAACTTCTTGTAGTACTCGCGCTTGACCGCAGGAAGCATGAGTACACCCTTGGCAGACTTGTCCACTCCGACTCTACCAGCTTTGCCGAACATTTGTAGTATGTCGCTGATGGGGTAATCCACATATCGGTGTTCACGTCCCTCATAGAACTGAGTGCCTTGAACAACGACGAGATGAGCGCTGCTGTCAACCTCCCAACAGGAATCGCGTGACACAATCATGACTTGTACAGCACCGACCTTGAACAGATGCTGAACAGCCCGCTTGTCGAAAGTGTTGAGAGCCTCATGGAAGTAACCAATACCGTGAGACAGCGACTCCGCGAGTGAGTGTTCGTTGATCTTCTCAAGGATCGGTTGAATTTCCGACAGCTCAACATTGAGGAAACGATCCTCGTTCTCGTCGGCAACACAAGCGTTGAAGAGATCGGAGGCGGAATTTCGAGCTTGCTTCCTGTTAGGGACGAATATCATAGCCGGTTTGTCGGGAGACATTTGTGTGATAGCAGAGTAAGTCGGCCTCGCCATAGCCATCATCAAAGATGGGAAATGAGGAATGGTGAAGGACTGAATCTTCAGCTCCAGTGGTACTGCTCGGATAGCCGGGCTGAAGTTGTAGATAGTGTGCTTGGTCGCGCCGATCCACTCGCCAATGTCCCGTGCGTTTGCCAGAGAGACAGCCAGGCCTACAATGCGCAGCTTAGACTCAATCTGTATCGCCATTGCCTGCATACGAGAAACAACAATCTCGTAGACATGGCCGTTTGAACCACCGAGCATGTGTAGCTCATCAGCAATCAACAGAGCTACCGATTGGACGTTCTTCCTGCGTTGCCACTGGCGAGAGAGGGAATCCCATTGTGAAGGTGTAGCCAAGATGAGGTCACCCTTCTCGAGCAATCGGAGATCGGCTGTGGTTTCGCCAGTGAGCTTGACAATATCTTTGCCTCCACTGAGACCGGATAACCGCTCGTTCCAGTTCTTGTACTGATTGTCAACGAGCTCCTGGAACGGTGCTAGGTACACAATACGACCCTCATTGTCGGTAGCCCAGTGTCGCAAGATAGCAAACTCAGCACAGATCGTCTTGCCAATACCTGCAGCTGCGCCAACAAGAGTGTTATCGTCTGTGGTGTACAGCGTGTTGAATGTCTGCGTCTGAACCTTGTTGAAGCGGCCGACGTTCTCGTACAAGCCCATGTATTCTTTCCTCTTGAGGGCAGAAACCGGCAGTGGCTGTAGGTCCAAGACAGGGGTGTGGGCAGGGAACTTGGCTGGAAGAATGAGCTTCTGGAAAGACACAGCGAGCTTTGTCTCAGATGCCATCCACCGATCTGAGAGAACAGTGATGAAGTAGTTGGGTGGCATCGGGTCATCGATGGGAACCGTCAGCTCCATGATGTGCTCGTTGGCATCACCATCAGAGTAGTCCCGTCGGAGAATGAAGGTGTCGTGGAACAAAATCTGCTCGCCGTCACAGTCCTCTACTAGAATCCAGAAAGCTTCCGAGGCTCCATGTAACTCCGTGTCCCAGGTAAAGTCGGGTCGAATAGTGAGTTCCAAGCGGAGCAAGGACCTAGTCACCGGTCGCGGTGTGGCCTCGATCTGTAGGCGTGGAAACTTCTCTACCAAACCACACACAAGTCTGCCAGCCTTGGGCATGCCTAGTAGCTCACCCATGCTTGGCGGGTCAAGGCCAAAATAGCTTGGCCATGTGACATCGATACGCTCTGCCTTCTGCACAATGTCCCTTGGGCAAGTGGGGAACTGTCGAAGTGGCGTCATCGTAGGCCACATACGCTTCTCAGCCATCTTGCACATGTCAAGAGCCAACTTGGCAACCTGAGACCAGCCCTTCTTGAGGCAAATCTCGAAGATTGCACGCAGGATACGTCCAGCCGACTGTGTGACGTAGACCAGATCAGCCATGAGCGCTAGTCCTTCCAGCTTGAGCCGAGAAATAAAAGCTTGAAGAAGAACGTTGATCTTGGCCTGGGCCTCTTCGACGCCCTCTTTGACAGGAATCGGGACCTTGCCTAGTAGCTTCGCAAGCTCGATCTTCTCGTCTTGACGGACGGGGATGTACTTGAATTCCTCGCTGAGTGCAAACACCCGGAACAACTCAATAGCACTGATACCAGGCTGGATGTGCATGTTGTACGTTGCCATGGAGTTGTGAGTGATGTAGTAATGGGAAGCGATCCTTCCAAGCTCGGTCGGGTTCAACGCTCCAGTCTTCCTGTCGTATTTGATGAGACTGCACTTCTCCAGGACGTGTGCAGCCGCATGAACAAGGTCCACTCGCCGCTGCTCTAGTACAGTATCATTCTCATACTCCGGGCCCACACGGTACAAAGCCGGTGATCGAAGCATTCTGACGAAGAGGTATGTGTAACCGAGCCAGTCCACCGCTTCATCTCTGTTACGTACGTTTCCAAGCACGACCTCGGCGTTGAGATTATCTGCAAGCTTGCTGACCAGTTGCGATTCGATAGGCAACTGTTGATTAAGCAGCGACAGGTAGTATTGGATTTCGGCTTGTGTGGTAATGATGATACCCTCTCCGTAGGTATCGTACTGAGGTCGACCGGCACGACCCAACATCTGCAAAACGTCCTGTGGACTTAGTTCGACCCAACTACCCTTCTCGGGAGAGTAAATCTGCGTTCCCTTGATGATGACGGTATGCGCAGGCAAGTTGACACCCCAAGCCAATGTTGCTGTGCAAACAAGGACCTGAATGGAGCCGTCGGCGAACAAGTCCTCAACGGAAGTACGATCCGCTCGGGACATACCAGCGTGATGTATACCAAAACCATATGGCATAAGATCCTTGAGGTCGGCGTTTTGTACTGACTCTGACTCCTCCCTCAAGATCTCTCGGCTGGCAGCATCTGATCGAAGAATCTTGCCTATTGACTCCTCCTCCAGTGCCTTGTCACGAATGTACTTTGCCGTCTTCGCAGTCTCTTTTCGCGAGTGTACGAAAATCAGCATCTGGTTGCGGTGTTCACCGACCTGCTCCAGTACTTTGGTGTAGCAGACGTCATTCATAGTTTTGAGCTGCTTGATTGCCTTCTTATCCGTGACACCAATAAACTCCTGCTTAAGCGGACAAGGACGGAAGGTGGCGTCAAAGTGGAACAGACCCTTATCGGGGTCCACACGGAGAAAGCTCGCCACATCACGGTAGTTGGGAAGAGTAGCACTCAATCCTACAATGCGTACTTGATCACCAGTCTGCTCGCTGCGTCGAAGGGTTCGACTGACGATGCTCTCGATAACTGGACCACGGTCGTCGTGAAGAAGATGAATTTCGTCAATACAGATGAGACGAACCAGGTTGATGTAGCTCGTGTCAGTGGCTTTACGAGTGATGACATCGTACTTTTCAGGGGTGGTGACGATGATCTGGGTCTCTGCAATTTGCTGCTTGGTGAGCTGGCGATCACCAGTAAGCTCAGAAACCTTGATGCCATAGGGTTCGAGACGCTTGCCAAAGTTACCGACTTGTTCAGCCACCAAAGCCTTCAGCGGAGCGATATAAATGATCTTGAAGTCGTCTAGTGCGATCTCGCCGGTCTGTGGGTTGCGATGCTTGCCGATTTCTCGGAGCATAGTCAACATTGCAACGTTGGTCTTTCCGGATCCGGTGGGCGCGCAAATCAACATGTTTCCGTCATCATTGAAGGCTGTCGGGAAACACTTAGTCTGAATACGATTGAGCGATTTCGAGTTGCCGAAACCCACTCGTGCCCAGTCCGGTAGCTCAGAGGTAGGCATCAATGCCGGCTCGTTGGGGTCGCGCTTCGCTTTCGGTGCAGGTACGTGAATTTCCTCATAGCCCTTGAACTGTCGTCGCGTAGAGCCTTGTGGCAGCTTTACGCTAGCGTTTGTCATCAGATGGTTTCCCTGGTCAAAAACGATGTTGTCCAGGTTGACAAGTCGACTCGATGGTTGCAGGCCGCCAACGATGCCCTCAGGCTTCGCATCAGCCATCTCCACATCGTTCGAGGGTTCTGGGAGGCTGATGTCCTTAAGGTTGAACTTCATCTTCCCAGCGCCAGCGCCATCCTCAGCCTTGATACCAGTCTCTCGTGCGCGCAGCTCTTGCAGGATCTTTTGCTGCCCCGCAGCTTTCATCTCCCGCTCGACTGCCGTCCGCTCGTCGTTGTCCTCTGCAGCTCTTCGCCACCTTGTGACCCAGACAACCCTATCGCGGTTGAGCACAAGTTTCGCAACCAGCTCGTGGTGTTCGTAATCAAACAGGTCCATGAGGTCGTTTTCGATCTCGCGCAGCTCCTTCTCTTCGCCGTCGTCAGAGACTCCTGCAAGATACTTGAGCGCGTCCCGTGTCTTCTCTTGCTGGATATGCGCATCCTCGTATATTTGTCCAATCTGCCGTTGTAACCAGTACGCGTCGATCTCGTGTGCAGGAATGAGTTGGTCTGTGGCGCTCTTCGCATCCGCAGCAGCTGTGTCGCCCTGTATTATCGTCTCTTCTGTATCCACAAAGCCTCCACCCTTCATATCCTGATCCTCTCCAATCTGCTCAATCGGCGCCGCTGCCTCATCTTCATCCGAGCTATCACCGTCTCGGACTTCGAACGTCTGGGGCCCGTCTTCGTCTTCCTCTTCATCGTCGAACACGACAGCTACACCTTGGTTGTCGCCATTGTCGGCACCCTCACCATCGGCCATCTCTTCATCGCCTCCCTCATCCTCGTCCTGCGCATCGTAGTCTGTGATTTTCTTGCCCAGGTTCACAAGCTCGTTGAATTCCTTTGCGCCCATGGAGGTTCCGAGGAGATCGTCCACTTCCTTCTTCTTGTCAAAGTCCTTCATGTTGTCATCCTTGAGATACTCGAGGACCTGGTCGGCCGCACTTCGCGTGGTCGCGGGGTCGACATCGCCGAGAGCTCTGCTCACAATGGTGGTGATAAACTCGAACGTCTGGCGGGTCGCAGGCGTCCGTGGCTTGTATGTGAGGCCTTCGATGTTTAAGTCGGCAGTAGCGATAGCTCCAAACCCACTTGTACCGTCGTCCCGTTTTCTCTTTCGCTGCTCACGCTCCAGCACGTCGCCACCTTCACCCAGGTTTCCTCGTTCGACACCAGGTCCCTTGAGCTTCTTTGCTTGCGCATTTGCGCTGTCACGACCTGTCCGTCCTCCCATGTCTCGGATGTTAATGCGGCCTGCGAGCGACTCAGGATCGCCAGTGTGCTCGTCCGGTCGGCGCGGGTTTGTGAAGCGCCTGTCCACCTGCAGGACCAAGTTGGACATGGCCGCATATTTGAACTGTGCCAAATTGTTCTGGTCTTTCGACATGATGGCGGTGGGTATCGTTGTTTGCGCGGCTTGCGCTTTTGGTTCCGCCTTCTAGAGTTACGTACACGCAGATCAAAGAGTGTATACTGCGAGAAACTGAGTCGCCGTATTCCTCCAAGTACAAGAAAAGGAAAGGGGTTATGCGATTGAATAAAGTCGGGCTGTGGACGCGCCCTAAAGTTGGATGCAAGTGAGCGGCGGCGCGATCTCAAAAACTTACGAGGGAGCTTCGGACAGGCTGCAGCGTCGCACGTGACCGCGCATCACCCAAACTCCGCCACTACAAGGGTACAGCAACTTGCTCCAATCTACGTACACGTAGTCTAGATAAGAGAAAAAAGTTATGCTAGCTGATGGGATATGAATTGGTCATCAGGAGACAGCACTTTCACACAAAACAAGGAATCCAGAACGAGTCCAGCTTTACTCAGTACGAAGTTATCATTGACTCTGTGCTCCTCTCTGCAGCTTGATTTGCTTCTAGCTACCAGCCACTATTCTTGTACATAGCGCGCTCACATGCGCCCATCTCTAGCAACGAACTCCAGTATTTATGCTGCTACAGATGCCATCATCCGTACTCCATCTCAACGCCTACTAGTCATAATCTTCCACACCATGTACTCATTTCGCACCTCCTCAAACACCCTCGGCCTTCTTCTTCTTCTTGTCCTCGATCATCTCCACATTGTCTTCTGGCACACCTTCGTATTTGTCCACCAAGAATTCCAATATTTCCTCACTCAAGTCTCCCTGCACTGTGATTTCCTCGCCGCCGCCTGGGATCTTGGTAACACTTGATCCTGTCGCAAACTTCTTGCCGAAGTCCTTGGCGACCTTTTTGATGTCCAGGCCAAATGCCTCGAGACCTTGTACAGCTGTAACATATTTCCGCTTGTTGCGCTCGATACGCTTGATCAGGATCTTGGAAGAGGCGCGCGTCTCAGCTGCTCGTGCTTCGGCGGTTGCGGCTTTGGCAGCCTTCTTTTGCGCGTCTTTTTCCGCTCGTTTTTGGGCGTCGACGGAGAGAGAGGCCATGTTCTGCTGTAGCGCTTCTGGGAGAGGGTTAGCAAAGACTTTATGGCGTACGTAATGACGCTGATCGAGGTCGTCACTATGTTGGGTTGAACGTACCTGCTGAATACAGCTTCGCGTGCAGATCTGGATGTGCCTCCTCAAGCCATTCCTCGCATTTTTTGGTTGTACCACCGAACTCGCAGTACTAAAAAAACCCTGTCATCAGTGCCAGATTCGTCGCAGACGCGTCTCGGTGTCGTACCTACTTCAGGTGGTAGACTGCATACTGCATCTTGTTAGCTAACGCTGCGGATACTTCCTAATCTGCGTGACTTACCTCCGCAGTAGATGACGGGCTTCGGTAATGCTGTCTCTTCCGACATTGTGGAATTCTCAATGGCAATTGTTCGACCAATGTGCAAGCTCGAGGTTGCTGCGTTGAGTGTTGGGAACTCGACGCGAAAGAGAGCGTAGTGGGGCAGAGGGAGCGTGGCGGGGTAGTAGTGCATCACAAGGGTTCCTCTGTCATGCTTCCCAATTCACACCATACAACATCGTGTGCGAAGCACTTTCAGTGAAATTGCGTCTGAGTAGCTAGGACTACTTCAGCTACTTCGCCTGGTTCTCCAAAATCAAGATCTTGGGGTCCATCCGTATCTCCACCCAATAACCCTTAAAAGCGCTATGCCTCAGCGCCCCTTCCAATGAACGCCATACCGCTGCAGTTTTGGTCTTCCAATTATCCTTCTCCGTAGATTTACTGGTGTTTGGATACGTGGGCTCAGCGAGCTTTCCGCTTTCCTCTCCGGGCTTCAAAAGCCTGACGACCCCACCAAAGCCATACACTACGTGCACGACCTCCCACTTCCCAATTACCTTCTCTGGCTTCTCGGCGAGGACGTAGTCAAACTTAGTCCAAAACATGGGATCCAGAAGGGTCCTCGGATCTTCCGTCTTGTCATATGTCCACGTTCTGTTCTGTAGGGTAACTTCTTCTTCTTCTAGTACATCGAGCACGGTCTGGGGTCCTGTGTGGCTCTCGAGGAAACGTGTAACGCCTGTTTGACAAGCGAGGTTATCAAAATAGACGTTAAAGTGCGATCTTTCAGGATGCTCCACGTCCCTGTGCAAAGCTTGGAGTGCTTCGCCTCCTGGATAGTTGAGACTGGAAATGCCTAAGATGGCACTCGATGCAACGAACGATACCATGACCGAACCTACAAGCATTAAGCTCAGACCTGCGTAGATGAGAGACTTTGTTCGTCTTGTCCAGATCCATGCTGCTCCAGCCGCTGCCACTGCCGTCAAACCGGGTATGACGTAGAGAATGAAGCGCCATTCTTTGTGAGGTAGGAAGCTGTATATCGCCACGAAGCTAAGTAGCGGAACAAGTAGATCTAGACTACGTCCACGAGAGGATGTGTTTAGGACCGCAACTGGGATACAGATCAGATAAGTCGCAGGGTTCAACAGTAGTCGTGGTAGTGCGTTTCCAAAATAGTAGTGCCATGGCGAGACACCCCAGTCAGCCGAGTGTCCTTGTATGGTGTTGTAGTAGAAGCCCGTCCATTCAGGCCAAAGTGGAAACGATTGCCAAAAGAACGAATCCAGGCAAACGGTGGAGAGAAGTCCTATGACGGCGCCCCCAAGTCCAGCAGGGATAATGATGCCCGTGATAGAGATTCTCCGTGTCAAAAACAAGTAAATGGTGATGGTACCGATCAAGATGGCCAGCTCTGAGCGGAAGACAACCCCAGCAATCGTGAGCAGATACAGACTTAATCTGTAGTAGCCAGAGATATTCGAGGTAGTCCAAGGAACTGTGTAAGCAAGCAGTAAGCTTCGTAGGGCAAGGTTGCCTGTATCGTGATAAGCCAACAGCTCCTCAATAGACTAAACACCAACTTACTGAATACAAAAGCAAACATATTCGGCAATGTCCTGGAAGCGTAATATATGACATGAAACTGGCTCGCCTGAAACAACGCATACCAAATCCCCGCACTCGTCCCAAAAGCCTTTTGCACGCTCCTGCCAAAAGCCACCAGGGCAGCCGCATTGAGCAAACCAAGCACTCCTCTTACTATGACCCTCACAATCAGCATCGACATAATCAAATTCTTTCCCAATAAAAACTCACCCAACAGCTGCACGTGCGCCATATCCCCCAGCAGCCCAACCCAAGGGCCTACTCAACCCCCCTAACACCAATGCACCCGCAAAGGTCCTCGGCACACTCCCCGGGAAAGGCAACATGATCGTAGTTCTTCGCCAGGAACTCCGCTGCATTCTCGTCGGTATACCATGCACGATGATATCATGA